CATTATTCCACAAAAAGCTACTAGAATGCATAAATCAAGCAAAACGGCAAAATTGACACATGCAAGTGCGGAAACGGCAAACGAAAACGGAAACGACCGGCAAACGAAAACGACAAATTTGGCACCTAGAATTGTTTTGATCAAATTTCAGGCTACGGGTGTCGGATCGAAGTGCATGGGTACCGTTATGAAACTGAGAAGAAGGGTTACAACTTTCATGAAGACACCTCAAGCCAGATCTCAATGGAACTAGGACAAAAATGCACAAAACAGTTCCAGCCATTTCATTTCGAGTTACCAAACAGGTCCTGTTTGAAAGACCATAACTCACGACTCAAAAATCAAAATCAAGAAATTCCAGAGGTGTTAGAAAGCTTATTTATAAGGCTATAACTTTTGTGTTTTGACCAAAAGTTGAATCAGTATGGAGCATAGGGAAAAAGGGGTCCAAAGTACCTGTCAGAACTGGCCAACTTCAACGGTAGTTCTGACACCCGATTTTGTTTTGGGTATAACTAGAGTTACGGAACTCGGATTTGGACGCACTTTATACCGTTTTGAAGCTGAAACAAAAATCTACAAGTCTTATGAAAACCTCAACACTCAGTTCCTTCATTATTAATGTGAACTGAGTACGGTCAGAAGCAAAATCAAGAAACGTCACCAAATCCACAGTTTTGCATAACTATTAGTGTTTTGGTCATAACTCAAGATCTACTGATCAGATTGGATTGAAATTTTGCAGGCACAACAAGGATTTAAGAAGCTACAACTTTCATGATTTGGAAAAACTCTGAATCAATACGCATCACAAAGAAAAATAGTGCCAAAGTTCAGATTCTGGATTGCCCTGTTTTCCAGATTGACCAGTTTCGCACGCCGCAACCGCACAGTCCGTTTCTATGGTTCTCATACAAGCTTTCTACCCAAACTCATACCAAATAAACACACATATACCAGCTTCTAATAGCTTCACAAAAGGTCCGAATTTGCTCTTCCAAATTAACCTCAAAACTTAACAAACACTAACCATATTTTATGCTTTTAATCCTACAAGTTCAACTAACCCTTCAATCTATCCAATCAAACCCTAATCATCTAAGGCTTAACTCAACCAAACTAACTTCCTTTAGAACTAGGGTTTCAAGGCCAAACCTGATTTTGCTAAGGATCAACCATATAAATGAACTTATCTCACCAAAGATTTCATTTGCAAGCTAAACAATCAACCAAATCAACTTGAATAACCATGGAGCAAGAAACCTTAATTCTTCATGGCCTTGCCCGAATTTAAAGCAGCAATAAATCACCAAAATAACCCATCAAATTACATAATAATCACCACATAAACCACACAAGTTCATAATCACAACAAAAACATTACTTTCATGACTTCAAAACTTATATCACCAAAAGTTAACTTCCAAATGAAATGGTTTATCTTCAAACAAGTCTTGCAAGTGATGATACTATAACAAACAAGTGCTCAAAGGGTTGCTCTAAGCTCCAAGAAGAAAATAGATGGCTAAACTTGGATGAAATTGGAAGAAATTTGTCTCTCTTTTCAAGCTCACTCTCGGCCCTCTCTCTCTCTTTCTCCCTTGGTTTGTTTTGTTTCTTTTCTTATGTTTATCTCACAAATCCGATGATATATAAGACTAGTCAAGCCTTGGAAGATATTTTCTCTCATAACCAATCACATAAAAGCTCACATTTTGCTCTCAAGCCCTTACACCTTCAACTTTGCATTTGATCAACTCTTGCCCTTAAACATTTGAAAAGCTTTCAATTAACTCCATAGGTTATAAACTTAATCTAATTCAAAACATGTAATCACACTTAATTGATTCACTAATCACTTTCCTATCTTAATCACCTATACTTAATCATACTTTATCCTACATCAAAATAATTAAACAACAACCTTTTTGTCAAAGGCAAAATTAGGATTTTAACCGCAATTTAGGACTTCTAATCGATTATAATACTAGAGATTTTGCTCATTTAGGATTTTTAACTTTCTTAAACCTACTTAACTTTTGTAAAAGAAATCTATTCCTATAGTTACCTGTACCAAAACACACATTAAAATACCAAACATGCATTACAACTCAAGCTTGTGAATAATACAAAACTAGGGTTTCAATCCTAACCCAAATTAGGGTTTTCTCATTAGCACTAAAGCCCAATTTTATGGCACAAATATTTCACCTCACCTACTATCAAACTTAAGGACTAATCAGGGTCTCACAGGCTTGCTCCTTTTTTGTTTAGATATATATCAATTGTGATTTCTTATAAGAATTCTTAATATTATATGATTCTTATTTCCTACCCAAAAAAGGAATTGGAAAGTAATGCGATATAAATAAAAGAGACATAAATATCTCTATTAGATATATCTCCAAATTCATGCCAATAAATTGTGTACTACATAGGGAACCGAAGTAAATAAGAATTGTTATCACTACAAGAAGTATAAAAGTAACTAATTTCAAAAGAAATCATTAATAACAGAAGTCAATATCTGATGTTGGAAATAGAATTCTTAATAAATTTTATTATTAAGTGCGTTATCAAGACATAGTGCATAGCACGAAATTTATGAAAAAGAAAAAGTTAATTGAATCCAATTAACTATATGTATTTGACCCGTACGGTCAAATATAAATTCCTATTTGAGTACGAGTTTGTAAATTCTTATAAACCTGTTTGTTGTTAATCAAAACATGCAGGTTATACTCATTGCTAGATTATAAAATTTACAATACATCTCTGTTCAGATGGTGGGGAGTATTTAGTGCGTGGACCCATACAATAGAAATCCATGCACTTAAAGGACTCGATATAGTTGATGTGGTCTTTCAAGGTAGGTAAACAATCTCGCATAATATTTAGTAATAAATTTATCTTTTATTTCACATATTATATCTCACATAATATTTTTGCCTTTAATTTTGATAAATCATTATCAGATTGGTAGAACCGATAACAAATACCAACCTGAAGCATTTTCTTCCCGGATCCCAATTAGTATAACACATGATTTTAATCAACAACATTTCAATACACTTCATATGAATCATTCATCAGAAGGTTCAACAAAAACCACAGATGAAATGAATCATCATAAAAAGATTTCCATGAGAAGGTAGATTTAATTTACTATTTTACTTTCTTAAATTATAACCTTTACGTATTGTTATACACAATCTTGAATGCGATAAATCATTTATTTTTTTTATACTTAGTTATCATGCTTTACTATCATGCAGTGATAATGAAAAATCAATAAATGCTAATTTGTACGAACAAATCGAGGAAAATATTCAAACAGAAGAAAAACAAAAACAAGTTTTTGAAGAGTAGAATATTATTTGATACTATTTACTGCACTTTTTATTTATTTTTAAGTTTTTGAATGTTATGGTACCGTCGAATGTTATTTTTTCCATTTTTGAATTATTATTTACTGAATTAGATGTTCAAATTTATATTATAAGAATACTTTATATTACAATGCGCATATAGTAATATATTTAAGAAAGGTTATAATAAAATATACATTAAGTTTGTATTTCATATCGATATTTTTATAAAATTGACTAATAATTTATTATTTTTCGAAAATTCCCGCTCAACGAATGGGTACAAAATTAGTAACAAAATAAAGCAAGAAGAATAAGTAGATAGAAGTTGGAAAAAAAAAAAGGATAGGTAGAGAGATGTAGACTCTAATGATTACAAATCTTGTTATAGATGCTTGGACAATAGGGATCCAATTTTACGCAAAATAACGTCAAATGAAAACTAGAATTGAATATTTGACAAAAAAAACTAGAATTGAATAACTTTTCCTTGTAATTTTTTACATTTCAAAGCTAGCATTAGGTTTTCACAAATTCTAAGTAGCAAAGGTTTACTTCAGTGGAGCTTGACAACTCATTCAATTTTTATTTTCAATTTCTGAGAAATGTGTCCATCCTGATGGTCAATCATTGAAACTTGCTGTAATAGTCGCAATAATCGTCCATGTCATCTAAACGACTCCTCTTCAATTCTCAAATCATTATACTAATTAGGCATTGACCCTCCGTTCATTAGAATATGTACGTCAAAAGTTTCAAACGGGTTGCTCAACTTTTAATTTTTTTCTAAAATCAATTATTATTCCCTTAATTTTAATTCGGTAAATAAATAGCTTTCTTTCCTTCTGTATTTCAATTTACAAGAATTATGAGGTCAAAACCAACCTAAGGGTGATAACGGATAGAGCACCCACTAATATATATATATATATATATATATATATATATATATATATATATATATATATATATGTAATTTTAGAAGTTGAATAAAATATTTAAAACATTAATTGATTTTTTATACACCGATAATATATACACTGTTGTGTTTGGATAAATGCCATATATGTTGAATTTAAATTTCAAATCTAAATTTTATTTATGTGGCATTCATCTAATTATGATAGTTTATATACAGTTATTGTATAAAATATTTACTCTTAAAACATATAATAGTCGAACAATTATTTAGTATATTTAAAATACTTAGAGTTGTTTGGATTGCTATTTTTTAGAATTATTTTTGTAGAAAAATATATTATAATAATTTGATATATATACAAGATATAAGGATAATTAAATAATGTATTCATGAAAATGTAATTTTTTTTAAGAAAATGGGAATCCAAACGAGGAGGAATGAAAATTTATGTACATGAGCCCGAACAAATATCCTGAGATACACAAAAATAGGGGAGAGGCATGAACGGTAGCTACCAAAAAAAAAATGTAAAATTTCGATTACAACTTATATATATCGTTTTTTATATTATATATGGGATTCATAAAATTTTATTATATAATTACATGTTGTTAAAATTAAATTGCATCGTGTACATATAAAATTATATTTTGTGTATTTTACACAAAATCGGTTGTAATGATTTTTTGACAAACCGTTCCGGCCCCTTGTCCCAGCACAAACACGGGGGGAGAAAGGAGAGAGAGAGAAAAGGAGGGCAGTGTACAAATAGCGGCACCCACGCCGCTGTCCAGTGTTCAGTTCAGCCTGAGCCCTGCTGAAGTCGTCCCGGTACTCTCCAGTCAAAGATCGGAAGGCAAAGGTGTGTGGTGTGGGGGCGGCCGTAAACTTGATTGGGCCACCGCGCTTTCTTTCTCCCTCCTCCTAATACACAGCAGTACTACTGCTTCTGCTACTACAATTACAACTACCAACGCGGATTATAGTACTAGTGCTAGTATCATTAATAATATTATTAGCGCAGCATTGGAGTTATATTATATAGAAATTAGAAACCCTTGTTGCTCAGTAAAGCCACCCTCCCTTTCCCTCATTCCAAGTACTTTTATATGAATTCAATCTCACATTCCTCCATCAACCAAATTCGCTTTGGAAAATCATTCCAATCCTAAACAATCAGGTCACATATTTTCTCATTATTATTTTGCAGCAGTAAACTCTGATTATTTATTACTATTGTTATTTGCTGCGCTGATTTTCAATTTCAGCCCGTTCTCTTTCAATCGGTTTGTTCTGGATGGGGTAAATTTGGGATCGGTGTATCTGAAAATCGATTGTATTTTGCTATTTTATTCAATGGATTATAATTCTAAATGTACTCGTTAGCTGAAATTGTGGCTGTCCATTTTGTTGTAATTGTGGCGTTTGCTCTGAAGCTTTTAGCTTTTGCTGCTTCAGTAACCATATGCATAACTCACAATACCATGAACACACACACACATTCATGGTGATTCTGAGTGGGTTAGAAGCATATGAGATGTAGATATATGCATTTGTGTATTTAATGAACTTGATTTTACTGGGGACATTTCTCTGTTGTTTAGCCTCTGGTAATCTAATATGTTTTGATCTTCAAACATGAGAATCTGTATGTGACTATGAAGCAGATTTTTTTGTAGAAGAAGAGCAAAAGAGAGTTATGTGAATAAATAGTAGGTTAAAGTTTTTCTCCTCAAAGTAGAACAAGTGTTATTATGCCTGCTGAAGACATAGAATTGAGCTCACTTTAGGTTCTTTAGATGTCGTGGAGTTTTGGTTGCACACCTTGCATGAAGATCAAGTTTATGGAGGATAATTTACTCTTTTTTCTCAACACTGGCAGTGATTTTAACTGGAAACCTTTAGCTGATAATGTTCTTGACATTTAAAATTTGCCAGTTTGTCCCACTAATTATTTTATTTTATTTTTTGTTGGTCAATTTGGAGTAGAGTTGAATTGCATGATGCATTAGTCTCAACTGTTTCTCGATGCAGAAAGAGAATTCATTCATCAGAGAGCTTTGACATGTCTCCTTCATCCTGCTAATACCTATACTACCTTGTCGTTAAAATGAGTGGTGGTCAGTTGTTAGAGCTTACTCTCAGGGATATTCTTCAAGTAATCAATCCCTTGAGGGAGGACTGGTCAATAAGGTTTTATATCATCAATGAGCTTCAAGCTGTTGTTCAATCCATAGAAAGTCTCAGAGGTAATGGGGCTTTGTTTGTACTGTTCTTCCTTTGTAGTATGTGATTAAGTTGTGCAAATTTTTGGTATGCCGCTTCTCGTTGTAATTCTTTGAATGCTAAATCCTTTATGCTCCTTTCAAAACATAAAAAAGTTTGTGTCTTGGTCTGTGTCTAACCAGATACCATCATGCCAAAAATTTGAAAATGCCTTGCCTTCTTCAAAACTAGCTCTTAGGCCCTACACATGCAAAATCAAGAGAAGAAGGAATATGGCCTGGAGTAAATGTATGCTTTGGTCAAGCAACGACACTGTATTTTTGTGTCTATTGTGCTAAAATTAAGACTGGCTTACTTTTTGTTGCCTCATCCAACAGAACAGTATTTTCAGCAAACAGCTTTTTTTTTCAGTTGTTTATGATGCTAGACATTGCGTTGTGATGATGTATCACTGATTTAGTTCTTTTAAATCAGTCTTTCTAGTGAATTTCTGTGGATGCATATTTTATGCAGGACAATAGATACGGATTAAGAATGAGATTTGTTCAACAGATAAATTTACCATTTTACTTCTTACTTGGTGTTCAGGTGCCACTGTTGAGCCTTTCGGATCGTTTGTGTCCAATCTCTTTACAAGATGGGGAGACTTAGATATTTCCATTGAATTATCCAACGGCTCCCATATTTTATCTGCTGGGAAAAAGCACAAGCAAATGTTGCTCAACGATGTGCTGAGAGTTTTGAGAACGAAAGGTAAACTGCTTAATTTTCTAGTCTGAAGAATGGCTTCAACAAATTTACACTTTCTTTAGTTTGTGATATACTAATGTCTAAGCATGGTTGGTTCAACTATTCAAAGAAGCATGAATGACCATTTCCTTGTGGCATATCATCATTGGAGAAGTTGTAGTTGGGATTCCTTTTGGGCTTCACTTCAAATGCTTTGCTTTAAGAGAAGCAAACTCATTGCTTTTTGAAGAAGGATTTTGTATTTGCAAACAAATATCTTATATCCTTTTATGCTGACTTGAGCGCTTGATTGATTTGCAGGTGGATGGCGTAACTTGCATTTTTTTGCAAATGCTAGGATTCCCATTCTGAAGCTTGAGACAAGTCATAGCATCTCCTGCGATATCTCAATTAACAATTTGAGTGGCCAAATGAAGTCTAAGCTATTGTTTTGGATGAATGAAATTGATGGGCGTTTCCGTGACATGGTTTTGCTGGCATGTTTTCTAACATTACTATAGATGTTCCAAATAAGACAAAGGGAAAAAATGAGAAGCTAAAATTTGATAAATCCATCCATCTCTGCAGATTAAGGAATGGGCAAAGGCACACAATATTAATGATCCAAAGTTTGGAAGTCTTAACTCGTATTCTCTGAGCTTGCTTGTTGTCTTCCACTTCCAGGTAATTTAACATGTCCTGTAACCACCCCCTTCCCTCCATTTTCTTTTCATTTAAGAGTAGTCATCAAGTGTCTTTTTATAGTGGTTTTGGGATGGCATATTCTTCCAAGGGGTGATAGTTATTTGAAAGTAACATAACGTGTCAGTGAAGGTTTAGCTTGTTTTCTGTTACCATACTAAAGCAGCACTCACTTGATATTACAAAATATGGTTGGGTGAGGCCCTTGATGCTTGGAATTCTTTGTACATGTCATCTTTTTAAGCTAGGCATCATGTGCTGTGTGAATCTTCTTACAATGTTCAGCAATTTAATGTGTCATGTTGTATCTGTTTTAATTAGTGATATTTTCTTTATGTAGGTTTTTCTTTTAGGATTGGTGAGTAAAACTTTATAATATTTTGCAGACATGCGTACCTGCAATTTTTCCTCCTCTCAAAGAAATATATCCAGGCAATATGGTTGATGACCTTATAGGTACGGGTCATTGTTTTTTTTTTTTTGGGTCATTTGTTTATTTGCTTATTTGCTCATTCTAGAAAAATATGTTCAAGTGTTTTCTATATTACTCCTCATCTAGAACATGTGAATTTGCAAGTTTTTCAAATATGTTTGTTAACATAATCAGTAATCATAGAGTTAGCTAGCCTAATTGATTTTGTGTTTTGAAACTATTAATTATTAGATATCCAAGAGAATCTCTGTAATCAGTTGGGAACAATCATGGTACTTGAGTTGGAGTGAGTTAAAAACTTTCCGATCATTGCTTCTTCTCTGAGTTTGAGCCTTCCTTCTCTTGTTCTGGTACTCATTCTCCAGAAATCCTTTGGTTAAGATGGGAATGGAGAAAAAAGATATCATCTGTAAGACTGTAACTATAAGTGCTATTAGATTGCTTTAGTCATCTAGCAAATCTGTGGATCTTTTATGTGCAGGTGTGAGGGCTCTTGCAGAAAAACATGTTGAAGAAACTTGTGCTGTCAACATAAACAGATATAGATCAGATAGCTCCAGACTTACCAATCATAGTTCTTTGTCTCAGCTTTTCATGTCATTCCTTGAGAAGGTAATAGTTGGTGATGTAGAATGTTTCTTCACTTGTTGCTAATGGGAGTTCATTATTCCTTGTTGCACGATATGAGAAGTTTGAGTTATGAACTATTTTTACTGCAGTAGCATTGACGGGGAAATTCCATGCTTTGATGTTTTGCATCTTCAGTTTTCTGACATTAGTGCAAAGGCAGCAACACAAGGAATTAGCCCATATACTGGACAGTGGGAAGATATTGATACCAACATGAGATGGCTACCCAAAACTTATGCTGTATTTGTAATCTCTCTCTCTCTCTCTCTCTCTCTCTCTCTCTCTCTCTCTCTCACACACACAGAAATACCTACACACACAAACAAGCTTGGAAAACATCCACAAAAACATTCTTTGTGCACGTTCACATGCCTTCATTCCACATAACAGCAGGAGATTGTTAGGTGCTAATGCTTTCTTTTCTTTTTCTTGCAACTGCAAACCTTCACGTTCTTTTTAGTGCATTGGAGGCCCCATGGCCTATGTGCTACTACCTTTGATTCTTTGAAAGTTAACATCATTTTCATGGTTGTTAGATTGAGGATCCCTTTGAGCAGCCAGTTAATACAGCAAGGACTGTCAGTAATAAACAGCTAGCTAGGATATCAAATTCATTTCAGACAACACTGAATATGGTTAATGCGGCCAATCAAGATCAGAGTATGCTTGTTTCTGCTCTTGTAAGACCACAAATATCGCAATTTTTGGTAAAACCACCTTTTAGATGCCAAAGTAGCCATAGCAATGGGACTCGGCCGCAAATTCCAAGAGCCATGCAGCCAGCTGGCCGTGTTCAGGATCAGTTTCAAAACAGAAGAAGTCAGAAGCGTCAGAATGAGACAAATCAAAGACCAGCCCAAGTGGTCCATATTCCTAAAGTCCATAGTCAAGTGCAGCAAGTGTGGAGGCCAAGATCTGAAAGTTAAAATGTTTCGGACTCTTTTGCCAACCACCACTCATCCTTGTTTAGAAGATGATGGTCAAAGATTGAGTTTTGGTTTGGTTCTTGAAAAGGTAAAGAAAAAGCTCACGAACTACTACCCTGAAGGCAATAGGGTGCTCAATGATCTGGAGTGTTTTTCACTATATTAATTTCACCCCCTTGTTGGTGGTCTGCAAGATATTGATTTTTGTTAATATGCTCATAAGCAATTACTCTCTTTCGGCACAAGTCACACACAAAAGGTCCTCTAGAAGATTTCGTGGTGTGGTGCAATATGCATTAGTTACTATCATCAAACGTGCCCACAATAGTTCGCACCTCATTGTAAAGACATTTTGGAGTGGCTTGATTTGGACGAGTATTGGGTGAAAGACTGGTTATAAGGAGGCATTTTCTGAATTTTGCTTGGAAAAATGTAACGTGTGAGGATGCAAGAATAGATAAAAAGCTCAAAGCCCAGTACCCATTTTCTCCTGACTCTTTTTATTGATGTCGGCTTATTGTCATCTAGAAAGGAAAGAGCTGAGAGAGGGAGGTATGGAGGGGAGTTTTAGCTTATTTGAGTCAAATTTTGACTTAATTTTACCAAATTTTAGTTTGATTGATGAGTTCTCAATGTTAAATTTGAACACGAGTTTGGCCTCAAATTCAAGCTGAATTGAATTCGAATTTGAGTTCAAACTTAAAAAATTAAAAATAATTATTTTTTTGAAATCAATAAAATAGTAAATTTTTAACAAATAATAAAAAATTTGAAAAAATATATATAATTTTACTATTGAAATAAAAATTATATATAGATAAATATATATATATATAATTCACTAAACTCGCGAGCTACTGAGTTAACTCAAAGTCGAGCTGGATTTGATCAATTTGAACTCAACTTGTGATGACGTTAACCTAATTCGCGTCAAGCTTTGATTTAAGCTGCTTGCAAACGACTCATATACAACCCTAGCAAGGACATATAAAAACCAATATTTAACAATGCGATCTCAAGATCGTCAGCACATGGAGCACATTTAACTTCCATATGACCTGTGTCTTACATACACATCCATCCAAAAAGCTGCTACAATATAGTTCTAAAATAACCCATATTTACATGCCTCCGTGTTAGCAAAGGGAAATTTTAACATTGCTTTGTAAGACCCCACCTACGTTTAGAATATTAGCAAAACAAAGCTTATTAGTTGTCCCAAATCAGCAGAAACTTCCTCCAGTGTATTTAATTGTACAATGTGCATTTAAATTAAAGAATACAATTTCCTAGTCAACACGAAAACTGTGCTATATCAAGTTTTAGATGTGCCAAATGTGCAGATATCCTCATCCCAGCCCTGCAACCGTGTTCTGTGAGACTGTTGTATCATATGCTGTACACTCGCCAAAATAATTACAAGGCCCATAAGATATTCGCTGACACAGTAGCATAACAGAGTCATGCTATTGCCCTCTTGGCTCAATAGGGGACTGTGTCATTATGACCATATGCCCAGATGATAGTCAATTTCCTGGCCTCCAGATATTCTCGCCACGAGCAGACTGAAAAAATTCAATCCATATGTCACTGCTTCAAGTCCGCAAGAGGTTTTTATCACCTATAAAGATCCTATAGCTTGCATGAGGGCCCTCAGATGTGTCTCGAATAGATACTCGCCAACCCAAGGCATTGCCTATAGCTTGGAGTTCATCCATTACAGCAAGCGAATCACGAATATATACATGTCCACCAGGCCTTAGAATTCGATCCATTTCAAGCATGATAGTAGTGATATTGCATCTGAAAGAATATAAATATATCAAATAAATGCACAGTAATTACCAGACCATGAACATGTCGAGATGATCCATTTTAAAATATAAAAGCTGCTGTTGGTTAAACATCACTTTAAAATGACATCCACCACCAAAACTAATCCCCATTTTTCTGGTATCCTCCCCCTCCCCCCCCCCCCCCCAAAACAAAACAAAACAAAACAAAAAAAAAGAAACCCAACCCACCTTTTTTTTTTAACTGCAGCATGGTCAAATTTTGAACTTAATGCAGAACATCAATTCAGATCTTATCATGACTAAAATATGACATCATAGGATACCTTTTTCGCTCAATGGAGAAGAGCCCAGCAGCATGCAACAAATCATAGGTTCTTGGATATGTGTCAAATGGCTCACACCTATCATATGCATCTTGTTAGACATGATTTACAATAACTAAATTGGCTCAGTAGCAAAAACTAGCTAGTATTAAATTATCACAACATATTGAAGAGTAACAGAAACAACACAAGTAGAAAAGGGAAAATGATGCATGGATTCTGAGATGCTATAGGCAAAAAAATAAAACATTTGCCACTTCTAAAAGTTCTCTTCACATAATTCCAACCACTCACCCCATTTTAAAGGTTTACATCTTGCTTTTTACCCGGAATAAAATCCTCCATCCTCGGACACATTTTCTCTTATATTAGCAAGCCTGACTGGTTTAGAACAATCTTAGGTCATGTCTGCCAACCTCACTGGTTTGGAACAACTGCGCTAATTACAAATTTCAGGACTTATAATCATAAAACATTTAACTCTACAGGTATAACTAGTTTGCTCCTAATTACTCTTATAACTAGTTTGCCTTTATTTGTGCTTTTAGAATATCTTAAGCTGAAAACCTTTATTCAAGAAAAGCATCCCTGACATGCTTTACTTAGCTTCAAGCATCTTTTCAGGACTGGCTTTTTGTGAAGAGTTCTTGAAAAGCTAAAGTTATATAAAGCTAAAGCCAATATAACAGTCAAGGTCGATGACATACTTTCAAATGAGACCAAGCCACAAGCAACCTACATTCTATACAGATTAATCTAATTTGCTTCAAGCGAAATACATGTATGTTAGGTAATGTACACAATTACATCTTACCAGGTTTCAATCGTGTACAAATTACATGTAGGACAAGGAATAAACAACAGCACGTTAATATTATAAATAAGATTCAGTCCCATAAATAAATAATAAAAAAAAGGATTCAGTCCCATACCAGTCATGCATAACTCCAATAAGTCCACGGTCATATATAACAGGCAGTGTGTTGGGCCCATTAACAGGTACCACATTAAGAACCCAGCAGTCCAATCGGTTCTGGATTAATGCTGCTGCAAATCTGTCAGATGCAAAACAGAAAAGTGCAAATTGAAAGGAACATGAACATCAGAAAATCAAATTTTAAGCGCTATGTTCAACATATGAACTAAATGGACCCATAGAATACAATAAAACAAAACAAGTAGAAATACATACCCTCCAAAACCAGCTCTCATGTCCAACACATTTCTAAGTTTGAAATTCTTCCATTTCAGAACACGGACATAACTTTCTATAATCTCATTCCAATATTTCGACTCAGCCTTGAATAGCTCTTTCCTAGAAATATAAGCATCGAATTGTATGCTCTGAAGCCTATCAGGAGGGTTCTGCAGACGTGCAGGCCACTTGCTAACATTTGCACCATATCCATCCTCAGGTAGTCGAGTAATACATGGCTTCAAATCAACATACCTAAGTTTATCACAAAGTGGAGTTATTGCTGCAAGAACATGGACAGAAACCGCTCTCAACAGTCAGCAATAAACAAGAATCAGAACGCATGGAGAGCTCATTAACCAATTCACAACTTTACTAGTTCGATATCCCTGCACAATTAAGTTGTCAAAATCTCCAAATCTGCTCTGCAAAGGCTCTTCATATATGGACCTTAGCAAAAAGTTGACATGGTTCAGAATTCAGTAACTAAATTGAAATATAGCATTGAAAGCCAGGTAAGAGACCAAGCTATCAATTGATACCACTGTACTAAAGGCAAAAATTAAGAAGTTGCCATATAATCTAGATATTCCCATTCCGAAAATTCGCTCCTCCCCTCACCCTAGCAGCAAAAGCAAACTTTATCTTACTTTTAGCCCACATCTTTTTCCCCAAATATGTTGTCTTCAAATCCTCAAGTCAAACTTTTTATGTCAATTAGAGAAGTAAATCATCGAATATGCTCAATCTAAAACAAAATAAATAAATCTCGACAAAGAAAATAAATCTTCACAAAGAAGTCACCCTTTGTGCCCCAAATGTTCTAGGGCCAAATATGATGGGTAAGCAACCACGTTTAGTCCAAACTATGCATGTTTTCTTACTTAATCGCTTGAATGTTGACCTTATTATCCGCCCTTCAAGCTGTATTTAGTAAATGACACGATTGGATATAATAATGATGCATACTGAAAAAGGTCTTCATTAAGAATTCTCAACCGCTAAGTGACTAGTTGTGTCTTGTTCTATCAGTGCTCTAAAAGATCAGCCTCGCAATTTGATTTGTAATCCCTTTCAATACTGTGCTTGGAAAAGCTCATAACACAAGATGTGCACATGAACAAATACTGTATAAAAAGTAATAGCTTTGTTGAACTCCCACCATAAACACAAGCATCTCAATGCCCTTTGAAACCATTACAAGAAGTAAAAGAACATTGGAGTGTGGAAGTAATTAAACAATTACATACCAAACTTTGTCTGGGTCATAATCCTGGTCACATAGTGGTGGTTGGGTGCCATCCTTGCGGCTTAAATAGCAACTGTTATTCAAGGGCTTCTGCCATACAGCAATATATCCCTCCTTCTTCACAAGGTTCCAGCAAAGATTTGTCGTTAGGTTCTCCATCTCTGGAAAACACATAATCACACATTTTAATGACAAGATCTTGACATTGCTCCAAGTCAGTCAGTCAGTTGCAGCACGTAAATCTTATTCCACTGAAATCAGACATTCAAACTTGCATGTGACCATGGAATGTTACGGACAACAAAATGATGAAATATAACAGATTAACACAGTTGAAGGGGGCATATGATAAAAAAGAAACTGCACATTCCATGGCATTGCCATAATTGACATGACATGACAATTACTTTACCTTCCCATTGTTCTTCTAGGACTACTTCGTGCTTGTAAACAGGCTGTGCTGCCCAAGCAAAATATCCTCCTGCCCGAAGCAATCTATTGACCTCAAGTAGTAAAATGCCATCTTCAAACAATGTGAAAAGCACAGATTAGAATATAAAATATCCATTAATTGTCTCAACAAAGAGTAGCATAAACTACAGGTTCTATTCACATTTTACATGAGCAGAAAAACTATAACTTTTACCAGATAAGCAAACAAGTGTCTGGTATAATAGTATAACTTAAAAGGCATGGTATCATAGAAACACGTGATGTATGCTATTGATATCCTGAATAAGAGCTTACACGATCAAAATTTACATAAACAATAAACTGAATTGACAGTGCAGGATATTTACAAGCGAAAGTCAAAGGACATACCTTGTAATAATTGATATGGGTATGTTAACAGTGAACAATGGTTTTAACAGATAACGGCATATTATTATTCTTATTACTATCATAATCATCATCATATTATAAGGAGAGAGAGAGAGAGAGAGAGAGAGAGAGAGAGAGAGAGGTAATGTCGTGAAAACTACACACACCATCTCGTGTCCAGTTGACTCTGCACCTTGAACAGTGTATCAAATCAAAGGCCTGACTTGGATATA